TAACGTATACCGGACCTTAGAATGGCCGGACTAACGTACCAAAGAATAGTCAGGAATAGCCGAGGTCAAGGGAAACAGAAAGAGACACAATGATAAGGAAAAGCAAGGAGTCAGGGATGCCAGAAAACAGGAAAGTCAAAAACAATGCCAAAGTCAAATAACCAGAATCAATAACGCACTCTCGGACAACCACAAGGGAAACCACGACAGGGTATTGAGCAGGATGAGAACTGGGCCTAAATACCCCTCCTCTCGATCTGATAGGCTGTAACCAGCCTTTGACCCCAAAGGCAGTTACCAGATTCCCATTTGCATAAATGCTGCTCAGCATTAAACCTTCTGTGGATTTGGTTGCTGCTCGGCACAACTTTTCCTGTGTGGACAGTAAATGTCATTAACCACATTTTTATAAGCGGATGAATACGTGACAGCCAGGTCCCCAAAGTTTTAATCCTTCAGGTGCTCAGAGAAACTGCTATGTTTACATTGCAGGGTTAATCCAGCCTCTAGTGGCTGTCTTCCTGACAGCCGTTAGAGGCGCGTCTGCGACGCTCAATGCGAAAATCACATCCAGCGTGCAGAACATCCATAGGAAGGCATTGAGAAATTCTTTCCTATGGTCGTTTTTAATGTGCATTCGGCTCCACTAGGGAGCTGATGTCGGAGGTGGAGGAGAGGTCACCAGCGCAGAGGGAGCCCGGCGCTGGATAAAGGTAAGTAGCTGAAGGGGTTTTAACCCCTTCAGGCCAGTGGGAGGGGGGCCCTGAGGGTGGGGGGACCCTAAGGATTATATAGTGTCAGGAAAACGAGTTTGTTTTCCTGACACTATAGTGATCCTTTAATGCATTTTATCTAGGAGAGGACTCCTCATCCATCTTATTCTGGGAAGATCACCTATTTCTTAACCCATTATCAAAAGTGTAGGAAAAAGAGGATCAGGTCCTTTCTGTCAGCTGTCGGAGCATCATGGGTGTTAACCATCACCATCACTGCTAATAGCTGTGCGCCAATTCGCTGAGCTCTTCCCTGATATTATTAGTAATGTATGGGTGAGTTCAATACAGAGTACATGATAGAACAGACATGAGTCACTGTAGGTAATTTATATGAGAATGGTTACATGAATACTTTGCTTTTATCTAATAAAATCATTGAGCTGTAAGATTAGGGCCATTTAAGAATGATTTATGTGACTCAGAACGGAAAGGTGCTTCACTTGCACAAGATCTGATAAAATAATTACACTTAGCAGCACATTTGTATGCAGCCAGAGAAGTAGCATTTGTTCTGTCCTTTACTATTACTGAAACGGATATACACCGAGCACAGCACTGAAAGATGAAATAATTCATTGGTGTGAACAATGTGATGGGACAGGATGCATATTATTTCCCCCCATTAGAAAGCAGATTGCTGAAGACCTAGATATTACCATAGGTCGCTGTGCTACGACTGCATACTTTGAATAATATAGCATTGAAACTCACACGGTTATTTAGTAAAGTGACAATTGTCAGGAAACTCACTTTGTTTGTTTATTCGTTGTAGCATTTTTACATTTTTTTTTAAACCATTTTCAATGAACTATTGGGTCTCAGTGTGTTTGTAATAGTTGTTCATGTCGAATATTGTGCTAAAACCAAAATGCACCGATAACTCATATGGCAATTTATAGTATTCCAAGCAACTGGACACCCAACTATCTTCTACCCCCACCACTGCCATGTGACATGCTTTTAGATATTTAATTTTATACTGTGATCATATCAAAAACTTAATGATCTATCACACTTTCTGGAATAAGCAATTCCTAGAAAAGGTCGTTTCAGCCAAGTATCTGGCCATATCACTACACTTGGCTTAAATAAGGTCTTTATCTGTGCTTTTGTGACGATAAAGGAGCTTTGATTCAAGAATGTGTGCTGGATCACAACGTCGTACTGATTGTATAAGCTGGATAACTGTTCCGGCACCAAAACAACTTTAACTTAATGAAGCAGTTTTGGGGTATAGATCATGCCCATGTAGTCTCACTGCTCAATTATCTGACACTTAGCAATGAAATTAGCTTGTGTATACAGTCCTAATCACATCTCCCTGCATGTGCCTTGTGCAGCCTTCTTAAACACTTCTTGAAAGGAAACCTAGATATTCTAGGTTTGTTTATTGCACGGTCTCTTTAATCTAGAATTTATTATCTCCTGCTCCGTTAATAGCCTTCTAGATCCTGCATAAGCCGCCTGCTTGTGATTTTTCATGTAGGCTGTGCCAGTCACAGCCAGGATAAGTGGGCTCGGGCTGCATAAACAGAAACAAAAGCGATTTACCTTCTAAATGTCAGAGAATTCAGCAGTGAAAAAGTAGGGGCCTGATCTATACTCTAGAACTGCTTCATTAAGCTAAAAGTGGTTTTGATGCCTATACTATTCCTTTAAGGTGTAAAAAAAAATTTAAAAATAATTTGTACCGGTTGGGCCAAAATTCAGAGTAGGATTTCATAGGTAAATAAATTATTAGTTATTCAAAGTCTTGTGCGGTTCAACATGGGTAATGTCATGAAGGAACAATGAAAAAAATGAGACAGCTGTTTGGCGAGTATAATTTCAAGAAATTCCCAGATTAACTGGCTGTCACGTTTGCCCAAGCTTTCAGCTCCTGATTACTTCCTGTGGGGATATCTGAAGGAGCGGTTGTACATGAGCAAACCGTGTACATTCGGGCAGCTCAAGGAGAGTATCTGTGCAGAAAATAGAGCCTCAAACATTTAAGTGTTGTGAACAATGCAATTGAAAGAGCTCAACTTTGCAAGTCGTCAAATGAAGCTTATCTAATAATATTTAAAGGAACACTATAGGGTTAGGAATACAAACATTTCTGACCCTATAGTGTTAAAATCACAATCTAGCCCCCCTGGGCCCCTCATGCCTCCCTAAATATAGCAACATCTTACTGATATTCAAGCCTGAAGCTGTAGCTCTGCATGGTGTTTGCCTCAGAATAGCAGCTGTCTGCTGACATCATCAGATGTGGTGGCCTGATCCAATCACAGTGCTTCCCCATAGGATTGGCTGAGACGGAGAAGGAGGCAGATCAGGGGCAGAGCCAGCGTGATTCAAACACAGCCCTGACCAATCAGCATCTCCTCATAGAGATGAATTGAATCAATAAATCTCTATGAGGAAAGTTCAGTGTCTGCATGCAGAGCGTGGAGATACTGAATGTTTAGGCAGCCATGACCCAGAGAGGATCTCTAACAGCCATCTAAGGAGTGGCCTGTGACGTTATCACTAGGCTGTAATGTAAATACTGCATTTTCTCTGAAAAGACAGTATTTACAGCAAAAAGCCTGAAGGTAATGATTCTACTCACCAGAACAAATTCAATAAGCTGTAGTTGTTCTGGTGACTAGTGTCCCTTTAATAACAATTGATTGTATAACTTATTTAATAATAATTTAAAAGATGTCATCTTCCATACCTACTCAAACAAATCTCCATCCGTTAAGCATTCATTGTATGTAATAAATAAAGGTTTAGGCACTTAAAAGGTCGAAACGTTGCTGCTTGTTATCTGGTACGATTAAACTTGCCTTTCTTGGACCTTGGAGTACCTAAACCTTTATTTTTACATATGGTATTATTTGGGATCTAGTGCTGGGCCCTGGTTTGGTTGCACCCCGGCCCAGAGTTATGAGATTGAGTGCAGTTCCTAATCTACATCATTGTATGTAATTTCATTGGAATTGGTTACTAAATAAATTTTAAAAAAAGCTATTGACTCCTCAAACCTTTCTCTGTATACTCAAACAAGGATACACATCTCAAGAACAAAACTTCTTGGGATCTAGTGCAAAGCTGCAAAGGTATGAACTCTCCAAGCATCATAACCACCACAGCTCATTGTAGTGGTCATGGTGCCAGGAGTTCCCTGCCTCCTCCTCCCCCCCATTGTGATATTCATAGCCATAATCAAATTTGATATTTTTATTTTTAACTGTGGTCTGCTAAGCACTCCTCCACCACCAACACCTGAATCTCCTAAACAGGAGCACCCTGCACTGCTTCTAGGCCCATTCTTTTCTAGTTGATATGCCAACTGTAGTTCTGTAGATTTTCTAAGCCTTCTTTTGAACACGGACTCCAGTACTTTACTTTTTTTTTTTTACAAACATCTGGCATGGTATGACATTCTGAACACATTAAATACTTAGATTTACACGAAGCCTTAAGTTTTATAGAAGGAGGCCATTTCTGGTTTCTTCTTCGAATATCTCAGGAGAGAGGTCTTCCCATGAGTAATTAACTATAACACATACAACGTTCTACATGAATCTTTTTCTACAAGAATAAGTATAATATGTAAACATCAAGACTTTGTCTAACCTTAAAAAGACCTCAGAACGTATGGTTGGTGAACACAGTGATCCTGTATTGACACGCATAGACAGTCTTTACAGCTTTAAAAATGAATGTTTTGTCTGCACATGCTCCGTAGCACATGCAGAAAACCATGGAACACATGTATGTTCCCCCGGCTGTGCACAGGCTCACAACCCAATTCATTAGCTACCACCTGCATCACCCTTCTTGTGTTTGGATGCACTACCAGCATCCGTTCCACTACAAAATAAAAAAGGGTGACACCTAAGACCTCCTTTAATTTCCAACACTTAAGTTCACTGCCAAGGAGCACAATGGATCTACACAGGTCCCCCCTGGATAGCATCCTGTGCTTATCGCCACCATTTACAGAGACTGGAGACTACCTGCCCATCCTGCTCACAGCACAAGTAAGAACAAGCTGGAGGAGGGAAGAAAGGATGTTTAAGGTATTGGAGGGTGTGAGACAATGCTTCACAATTTTAATTTATTAGAGTCCTCTAGCCTGTTGAGGATCCCTACTGTACTGCCACTATACAACAAAAATAGACAAAAAAAAAATACATTAAAAATAAGCAAATTGGTTGGTTTAGAGGTTTTATCCAGAATTTTAGCAAGTCACTTTATTGAATGGACCCATTACAATGTATAAGAAAAAAATAAAATAAAAAACACATACAATGTAGTTTTAGCAGACATTTTGCTGCTTTGCGAGCTAAATGATCCACAGGTAAACAGAGAACACTTTTAAGACATTGAATTAATTTGAGTCAAGGTTTATTTCATTTTGCCTCTTTAACAATTGTTCAGTCCTGTGTACAACATTTTTCCTTTTTAAAGTATGAAAATGTGTGGGTAAAAGCTGGTTAAAAATATTTTTTTATATATAAATAGCATAAATAACTTTATTAAGTCCTGTGTTCCAGAACAGCATGCAATGCATTGCGTCCACATCACACAAATGGTTGGAAGTTAGTGAGTTTGGAGTGGGGGGGGAGGGAGGGAGTGATACAAAAAGTAATCTTCCAAAATAATTAGGTTTACCTGCCCACTGTAGTTATTTAGAAGGAAAGAGAAATCCCCCACTATTTTTTTAATAAAAGATGTTTAATCCCTTAAGGACACATGACATGTCATGATTCCCTTTTATTCCAGAAGTTTGGTCCTTAAGGGGTTAAATGCTTTGTTACCTTTTCCCAATAATGTATTGTGCTGTAACTTAACCTGACATTGTAGTTCTGACATTGTAGGTGGAGCCTTGTGAAATATTGAACTGTTACAAAGATGGAGGAACGTTTTTAACACTATGAGAGCTTACCTTAAAATCTAAACCCACCTTGGTGGAACTTGGAAAAAATGTTTGCTAGACAATGGCACAAAACCAAACTCATTCATTGGGAAAAGGAGTAACAGGTAACGTACAGCAGCAAGAAACCAGAAAGGGATAGTTATCCATTAGGCCCAGTCAAACAGAAGATCCCCATACGCGGTAGGACTGCAAGTTCCATGATGCTTTGCCATTATAAATGGTGGCAAATCATGTCAGTGGAATATTCTAGTACATCGGAGGATGTGCCATTTGCCCGGTCCTGTTAGACATAAAAATATGACAACTTTTCAAGATTTGTAAGTTTACAGGAACCATAAAAGTTGGGTTGCAGGAATTACCAGTCATGGTCATTGTTGGAAAACCTTTAATTTCATCAATGAGCATCATTTTGAATATCAAAAGATTAGATAATAGAGATTATTAAGTAACATATAGTGCTGTGAGTTCCCCATCTCTACAATAGTAGCTTAATTTTAGGGCACACCTGGCCTTGGGGCGCAATGTCAGGCTGACCGGCAGCAGAAAAGCACACCACGCTCCCCTCCAGCCAATTAATTCTTGTAGCATGGCCGAGCGCAGCCCAGGTCTTACCGCCCGCAGAGCCCAGCCTTCTATCGCCCGCCAAACCTCCTACCCTGGTGTCTGCCGCAAGCTGTGTGGAGGGGACGGGGATATGAATGACATCATATCCCCGGTCCCTGTGTACCACACAGCGCAGGTGTTGCTCAGTGATAAGGCTGGGCTGCAAGACGGGACTCCACAGACCCGAACAACATGCACCCTAAGGACCATATTATACAGATGTAAGTATGTAATTGTGACTGTCTCTGTATGCATGTAACTGAATATATATATTTCTCTATGCCTGCATGTCTCCGTATGTATGTCTCTGTATGATTATTTCTGGGTTTGTATGACTGTGTGCCTGAAAAACAATGCCTGTGGCTTAGGAGGAAATAGACATACAGGGATCTGGTGGGGAGGGAAACACAAAACGGACTGAAGACAAAGAAAGGGGCTGGAGGTAAGAGACACACAAATGGGCCGGGGGGATGGGGGGGTGTAGTAAGCTACACTAAAGGGGGAATAATATTACATTAGAGCACAAAATGGATAAGACATTCAAGAGATGGGATTACAACAAGACAGGTTAAGATGCATAAAAATTTTTTTTTAAAAAAAGGAAAATTTAAAGGGGAGGGGTGGCCAAATTAATCTTTGCCTGTGTAGATAAAAATCCTTGCACTGGCCCTGTAAGGAGTCATTATGTTTAGCAAATTTACTAGAGAAGTCTTACTTGGCACCAAAGCTCTCCCTACTCCCTTATGACTGTACAGAGGAGAGGAAAATTGAGCGAGTTGTGAGAGTACCAGGGGATCTGGAAAGCCTTGTTACGTAGCTAGAAATAAATGGGGTACAGCTTGTCCAATCCCGGATTCCCTAGGACACGCTGAACACAGTACTGTAAAAGTTGCGACACAATTGACTTAAATAGAAGTCCAGCCCAGAATTGCTCAGACAAAGGAAACTTCCTGAGTCAATTAAATATAAACTTGCTAGGTTACAAGGTGGCACATTTGATTTAAGTTTGCCCAGATACCATCAAGATAGGAATTATGAACTTATCCAGTATGGTTTCATTTTAAAAAGGTAAAATATAAGCACCAGAACCACTGTAATGGTTATGGCAACAGTCCATCATGTCATCTCACATGAAGTATTTAAACCGTTCAAAAACTGTTTGACATTGATCCGACCTACTTTTCTGATATTCTAATGCAGAAATTCCCACTTTCACATTAGTGACATAAATTCCGCCACATATAGAGACAAAAGTCCTTACATACATCATAAGAGGAGGCTGGACTGTAATGGTTTCTGGAGTCCATAGTAAGAATCAAGCCACTAGAAAATGGTTTAATACCTTACTATTAGACCATAACCACTACACTCCGCTTGGTGTAGTATGCGTTCTTTTAAAAACTGACCTGAAACGTAGATTTAAAAAATAAATAAAAAACACAAGTGAGACGTACGTATGTTATTAATGCTACACCTATTTTTAACCCTCTTTTGATAATTATATTCCATAACTGCCACCACTTAAATAGAATATTCATTAGAGTTTTAATTGACTGAAATTCAAAAGTCATACTTGCAGCTAAAATGGAACTGCACAGTTTTCAGTTTGGGTAGTGTGGTCGAAAAGTAGATTTGTCTTGTTAAATTTCTAGTAATTCACATTTTAAATGAATAACCCTGAAAAGAAGAAAAAAACAAAAAAAATAAAAATATTTTTTTTGAAAATAAAGGGGGACAGATAGGCAACGAGCGATCATTTTCCCATTTCACAAATGGGTATAGAGAAGATTGACCAGTAGGGTAGGCGTCATAATGCTCATCTGCAAGGTATATTCAAGTATGATGAAATAAAATGGACTTTAAACATTTTTCCATGCCAAACTTCATGTTTTAACAATCTGATTAATTTGTCTACAAACTTAAAGCACACCTGCCATGCCAAACCTAATGTGGAATCTGTATGAAAAAAATAAAACTTAGCTATAAATTGTGACAACATGTGACACAAATTACTTCAATAGAAGTCCTGTCCATAATTTACTTCATATATTTTGTTCCCCTAATACAATCAGGAAGGAGGACAAGCAGCTGCATTCTAGGAATTAGGGGAGTGCCATGCATTGGGGCTTTTCGGTGCAGACAGTTTAATTTAAGAACGTCTCAGAGACAAAGAAAGTATATATTTTAATCTATACAATATTGCCAACCCAGTGTGTAGACTAAATGGGATCTCTGTGTAATCTAAATATATATTTTTATATATATATATATATATAGGTGACCTTGTCATCACGTAAATGTCAGTTGCACTTTAAAAATTCTATTCAGTATCTGCTACATAAACTTAGCTATTGTAAAAGTTCTGATTTTCTTAATTTCCTTATAGAGTTGGTGAACACATAGGGAAGTGTGTAACCAACTTAGGTGGTGCCATTAAAGATGATGCAGTAACCATCCTTTTGAAACAAACTGACTAATCAAAATGGGGGTGGAATTAGGTTGTTGTCCCTTTACAGCAACAATTGACACTTAATTACTTCCTTATATATAAGTGGAGATTTTGAGTTGAGAAGGCAGAAGCAGTCTTACACATATGAACTAATTGGTATTTGGTCACAGACACTGGACACCAAAAAACATAAAACATTTAAAGTGTGCACAAATCTTAGTGATAGAGTACAGCCGGACAAAAGTGGGCTTAAAGCTGGATGCACAAAAAAACTAAAAACAAAATAAAATAAAAATGTATAAACCCACGTTGATACTAGTTGTCCTTTAAGATCCAGTTTGTGATTATGTCAAATTCCACTTCTTTTAAAAAGTTTATTAAACTTCTTAATATAACTTAATGTTTGTGTGTTTTTTTGTTGTTTTGTTTTTAATGGATATACAGATTTGAGAAAAGTTTACTTTGTCTAACTGAGCAGCCATGTTGGGTCTGACTGTCACCTGACCAACTGCTATGCTACCTAACTTGCCTGCTGCTGCAGCTTCAGACAGAACAATCGTCAGACCAGGTAGGTTAGGTTGAGCAGCAGCTGATAACATGAAAGTAGAGTCTGTCCTAACATGGCTGCTTAGACACACAAAAAAAAATAAAAAAATAAACTTACTAAGATCAGTCTAAAACCCTTCATACTAAATAACAGTGTAATTTAATAAAGTGAGAAGTGCCAGGAATTCAAAGTGAATTTTAAATCAAAATAGTGCGAACTGAAATTATATTTCCAATTCGGCGGTTTTTTTTTTCTTTTAAAATTTGAAATTCACTTTGAATTCCCAACAACGCTCACTTTGCAATCGAGCTCGGAATAAATTCAGTCAAGGTCTCAAAAAAAAAAAAAAAAATTAAATCAATAAAAATGATGACCTGCTCTGTGTTTGGATCGGAGACCTGAGCAAAAAGTTGAAAGCATGAAGATTATTTATCACAGTCAAACCAGTAATTCTTCCTCATAGCTTGTATTTCTTTACATATTCATTTTTTAACTCAACATTTTAAATTGCATCCCTCATTATGATGTGAAAAGAAAAAAAGAACTTTCCTTTTAGCCTCTTGACTGACAGATTAAGGAACACTACAGGGTCAGGAACACAAACATGTATTCCTGACCCTATATAGTGTTAAAACCACTATCTAGTCCCCATAAATATAGTAAAATCTTACTTGCTCACTCTGCCCCTGATCTGCCTGCTTGGCTGACATTATCAGAAGTGATTCTCTGAGCCAATCACAATGCTCTCCTATACAATTGGCTGAGACTGTCAAGGAGACAGATGAGGGGCAGAGCCAACACAAGCCAAACACACCCCTGGCCAATCAGCATCTCCTCATAATGATGCATTGACTCAATTCATCTCTATGAGGAAAGCTCAGTGTCGCCATGCAGAGGGTGGGCAGCACTGCCCCAGGAAGCACCTCTAGTAGCCACCTGAGGAGTGGCCAGTGTAGGTGTCCCTAGGCTATAATGTAAACACTGCATTTTCTCTGAAAAGAGAGTTTGCATGAAAATGCCTGTATGGACTGCGTATACTTACTAGAACAAATACAATAAGCTGTTGTTCTGGGGACTATAGTGTGTTTTTAATGATATTCTGCTTTTAGGACCGTCTATACTCACATCAGATGCACTAAGTTTTAGCAAATTATGCATACTGTTCAAGAAAACAAAGTGGATGATTGTTTTTGTTTTGGGGGGAGACCTATTTAACATAAAGTGCTGGTAGACTGAGAACATCAATGTAACAGCAACTGAGTGCCACAAGTGGACTCCCTCGCTATGGATAATTTAGTAGACTAACATAGAAAAGGTATACTCTCAATGTCAAACCTCATGTTCATTTTAACCTACTTAGCTTGTACAAATTAAAAAAAAAAAAAAGTTTAATTTGTAAATATTTTCTGAAAAGATCAGTTTATAAGAAAGTGACTGGTGATCAAATACATATGCAATTAATCTGATATATGGAAATTCATTCAAAGATTTTGACTTAAGATCAGGTCCAATAGGGTAAGGGAGGAAAAAAAAAAAAAAAAAAGGAAGCTCAGACAAAATAATTTAAGAATGTTCATCTCTGACTGATAATAAATTAGTCATAACAAGTAACACACATTACAGAACAAATGTATTTACATCATATTGACCTAATTGTGACATCCCCTGTAGCATACTCTTTCTTTAAAGTTTATAGCTGTGCTTGGAGTTATCACATTAAAAATGTATCTAAGTGTAGCAGATGAACTCAGTGGCAAAAAAAAAAAAAACTAAATGAAAAAACAAACAACAAAAAAAAAAACTAAATACATAGCGTAAAAACAAAACCGATAAAAATTTAGAACTGGAATCTTTCAAAATCAGGCAATGGGTGAGAAATAAAAGAAAAGGATGGAACAAAAAAAAATAAAAGTTAACTTTAACTCAAAATGGCGCCTAGTTCACCTAGTTGTACCCAAGGATTAAAAATGGGAATACAATAAATTTATAACAGATTCAATTGAGGGCTGCTACAAGTAATGAGGTAAAATTGAAGACTTTAACTATGCAGCCTTCAGGGTAATGGCTTTTTTTTTCTACAGAGTTCCAGTTTGCACGCCACAGTGATTTCGCTAGCAAAGCATTTAGCATTCTCTTCCAGGAACTGCTAATATATACACTGTATACTGCGTCAGCAAAAAATATATATATTTATATAAATATAAATGAAAAGTTCATCCCACCCCAATTTGTTAGTGTTTAGTTCTTTTCTTCCATTTGTACGTTTAGCCCCACCCACAGAATGCGCTGAAGGAACAGACATTGTATAGAAGTAGGGTTTGTTTTTTGTTCGCTTTTAGGATTGGGACATTCCCTTTCAAATTCAAAAAGCACCGTTATAGCCACTTACAGCCATCCTGTCCATCAGTACCATAGAGTACCTCAGTAAAATTGGCATTGCGATGTATTGTGGATCCGCCCATCTCTAGATGGATCAAACCAAAGCACATTAAGCTGACGAATAGGTGCAGATCTAAAATTGCTCAAAACCAAATATTGAACGGTTGGACATCACAGCGTTAGACAAGCTTTGATCTTGTGGCTCTTTTGTGCAACTAATTCATCATGGTGCCAAGTCCCCTCGCTTATGTCCTCCATTTCCCCTTAAAAGTGAGGCCAGCCTCACTTGGCCTTGAAATGCTTCTGGATTATATGCAAAGTTCATAAATACTCTTGTCTTTGTTTCTCTCTCTTCAACTCCCATTGTAAAACAATAAAAACAGGAATCAGGTACAGTAATAAAGGTCGATTTGTTTGTCAGTGTAAAGCGTTCATGAGTCCCCGTCACAGTGCAGACCTGACTGCATGTATATGCTCAGGAGATAAGTTAATGATAGTTGTATTTGGTTACAGAAAGAAAGTCTCCATTTGATCCAAAGTGCATAGTGAGAACAAGTCAATGTCTTTCATCTTCTCGGTTCTCTTGTTCTTTTGAGACAGGCAAACTTTCTCCTGAGAAGAGAAGTTCCTCAGGGGGTCTTTAAAATACCCCAGCTCCCCACCCACCCTCAAAAAGAAATTATACTATCCATTCCAATAAAAAGTCAGCTGGATGACTTTTACATCAGCCAGGTAAACATACTTTGCCTGCAAATAATAGTCCCACTATCGTAAAGAAAATGGATAAGACAAAGAGTACATAGGATGACCCAACTACCGTGTTGTTGGGCAATTTGTATGGTTGTCCACCAACTTCACTGATGTAAAATCCTATGGGGAATATTAATGCTGCCATACAAAAAAGGATCACTGTGGAAGGAAAAAGAAAATAGGTTCAGTTAAAACAATGGCATACATGCACACAAATATAACCCAGCAGGTTTACAAATGTGAAAGTGTGTATATATATATATATATATATATATATATATATATATATATATATATATACTGGTAAAATACATGCCTAATTATAGATAACGTTTGGTTACTCCAAATATGGACGCCACAATGATGAAAGTCTTTCAATACCAAATCATAGTGAAGTTTACAGTTCATATTTAGCAGAGTAAGAATAAAATGTTCCTCCTCTTTTTTTTTCCCCTCACAACTCCGCTAATTTGGCCTAAATTTTTTGATTTTGTTTGCAATTTACCGTTTATTGGATAAATGCTAATCAGAGAATCTGCAATATTCTATTGAGAGGCTGTAGAATGCCTTCTAAAAAACCCAAAACCAAAGCAAACACACTCAACGTAGGCTGCATGGTTTGAAGTACCTTCTCAAGGACAGAGACAGGTAATGTGGATATTAATGGAGATAGATTATATATATTTTACAATGTTAAACAAAAATCTGCACACCACTCAAGCCATAAGACTTGCTTTTCCCACAGAAATCCCAAATCTGAAGTGATGTTACAACCGCAAAGGATTCTGGGTGGGCATATGTAAATTGGTTTAACAAAGAATCACATTTTTGCCTCATTCCATTTTAAACATGGATTCCTTTAAATCTGTATACACACATATACATACATACATACATACATACATACATATATATAAACCACACCATTAAAAATAAACATATGTCCTTACAGAGCTATATTTCTGTAACCCTAACTTCTGGTCCACCCATCTTTACCGATTTGCTCTATTTGGGGAAGCTTCCTCAAGAATAGTCTCCATGATGCAGACACTATTCCCTGTGCAGCTACTATTGCAACCACAGGGCATGGTCTGTGGTTTCTCTGGGTGGAGAGCTGAAGGGCCGCCTGTAGGAGGTCGTTTCTGCTTTCCATTACAATCAATTCTTTGGCAAAGAATCAATGCTGAAGAATTGACAGGTTTGAATAAAAAAAAAAAACAAAAACAAAACAAAAACACACACCCACAAACATTTTTTAAATAGGTTTTTCTCACAATCTATACATTTGCAGAATAACTCAACACAATGTATAGATTAAATTTCATGCTTCTTTAAAGGAGAAGGCATTTTGGGCAGGACTGGTGCCCTTTAAAAGCAACTGATATACAGGGATCATCTCCTGAAACAAATAAACTGCTACATAAAAAAATAAAAATATATATATATATAATAATAATAAGCTAAATGACAATTTATAAGGATAAAATAAATAGATCTTTATGATTTTTGTATATCTGTAAATGTGTACACTTACTGCCAGTGAATGCTATCCAGCGGGCATATTTTGTAGCTTCCCTTCTCCAGTGAGATGCCACTAGTAAACCACATGTAACAGTCAATGATATGATTCCCATTATGATGAAAAACAATGTGGTTACCCACTCTGGAGGGAGCCGTGGAGGGATACAGGTTCTGTCACGTCCATGAATGGTCTGACATTGTCTGACGAGGCCAACTGTGAGAGCACCTGGAAGCAAGAGACAGCATTAGAACTTGTAGTTTTACAATGGTATACTATACAGAAGAAGCAGTTAATTAGATAACAGGTTTTTGAGCACGCATAATGAGAGAAGAAAATAAAGTCTTATGTAAATGAATGGTAGAGTGAGTAACTCAATCATTTTCAGTTCAGATTTCAGTAAATCAACCCAGTCATTTGGTTGCTTCAGTTGTCACTAAGCTCTCCTGCCTAACTAATACCACGTTCTCGTAACCTTCCCTGGTGAGGACTTAACATTCTTAAAAGGACACTGCACACGCAAAGCACTTCAGCTTACGTACCTGCCATGTTGCCTTTGCTACAGAGTGTCTTTGCCCACGCATTTACAGAGCTCAATTCTAATACCTGGCTCTAAGCACAAATATCTGAGAAGCAGAGGTTGCAGCTACGTTGTAAGTGATGCTATAGACTAGATTCTAGAATAACTATTCTTTAAGTGTGTGAGAAAGGATAGGCTCATGGTGTAAATCTTGCTAAAAATACAAGATTCATTGAAAAGTCCAGCCAGCATAAACATATTCAACAGGAATAGGTACTTCAGTTTTTTTATAGAGTTCAGGTATTGCCTAAAAGTGACACTCCGGGCCCCTAAAGCACTTTTGTTTGCTGAAATGCTTTACATGTGAAGAGTGTGACCTCTTTTTGTTTAGACTGCCAGTTTCTATTGAAAAGTTAAATTTTTGTAGCATTAATCTTGTTACACTCCTTTGGTGGTGAAGCAGACAAGTCCCGCTACTTCCTAATTGATTACCTCCGTAAAGCTAAACTCAAAAAGCCAGAGCACCCGCTTTGCAAAGACTTCACATGGAACTGCACTGGGAAGTCTGTGATTGGACAGCTACAGAAAGTCTGGGTGGGGTTAGAAAGGAAGGGATTGCAAAAACAGCAGACAAGATATCTGCAGCTTTTGCAAGCAGTTTTTGGATAGAATCCCAATTTAAAAAATAAAATAAAATGCATAGATGTTTTCATATGGGTTATATCTACTAAATAGTAAATATATTTTATTTGGGCAGATATGTCCCTTTAAGATTGCATACCTGGCTCAATGTCTAGTAGGGCAAATGAGTTACCCAATCCCCTAAAAATATATCCTCTGTGGCTTTGCATTGAGTGCTTATTAGCAAATGGAAATGGGTTTTGGCATTGCATCAAAGACTGCAAAACTGCCTTGAGAAAGGTTAGAAGGTTATTTGATTAAATGAGCAGATGTTTTCATGTGTGACATTACTTAATGGATTAGAAAGCCAACAAGTCAAGGCTTGCCCCTTGTAAGTAAAAATCTTCTTTCCTGACAAGAGGGAGTAATGAGAAAACTACCCTGTGCATATAACCACAAACTATACCACATTTAGAAAGTGTGTGTACTAAAATTTTCTTTATATATAGTGTCAACATACTCCACAGTGCTTTTTTACAATGAGGATATAAACCGTAAATAATGATTTAAAAACAAAACACTCACTACTTTTAACTATTGCTTGATGGCATTATTTTTCGTAAAATATTAGTTGCACAGGCTAGACAGACCCTCATTTACCACTAGCCTCTCATTGTGGTGTACAGGGTCAGATCTTATCCTATAAATTACATAGGATTAATGGAACAGCTCTACGGAGAGCAGTCATTCCACAGCTGCTATCACTTTATACACAGCCAGGTTCCCAGTTTATTTGAACTGGGCATTCAGGAGTCATCAGTTCAGCCACTGAGCACACATGACCCTCTGGTGAAATAGACCGACTATAGTTGTGCATGAGTACACAATTGGATCAAAGAGAACATACATTTTTTTTCATCATGGATTCCCTTTAGTTGTAACTAATTTATCACCTCCAAATGAAAAGCAGCCTTTTCTGGCTCTCATGTTTCTCTCGGAATTACAGAAGGTAATTATGTGCAGCAGATACCAAGATTGCTTTAAAGACGTCTAGTGGGTATTAACCTCTCAGACAGATATTCACGGGAGGAATGTGGTTCTTTTAACAATATTTTCTGTAATTACTTACATGCTGGGGGTTGCATGCCATAAAAAAGAAAAAGAAAAAAAAATTCAGATGGCAGTAGCGGCCTTACTGATAAGCATTCCATCATTATTCAGAACCATGACAACTATCTAAATTATGGATTTAGGACAAAACATTTATCATATCCTAGCCTAAAGGCTACATTTACTCATATTAAACTGTACTAGTTAAAAGGGCACTAAGCATCAAAATCACTACAGCTCAGTTCTGTATTGAGCTGTATACTGGGCACGTTTCGACAAAACCAGCCTTAAAAAATAAAATAAAAAAAATATATGTCAATAAGGAGGGCACAGCTCTATTCCTTTCGATAAGCTTGGGATCACTATTCTAGGAGCCAAGATATTTGTTCATGTAAAAATCACAATGTGTGGCACGTATGAGTGCATCAGAGCTCTGCAGCAATAAAAGGTATAGCGTTAAATGTGTCTATGCAAGACTAAGATAAAAGCCACATTGTTTTACTTTTACAATACATTTTATAGGTCTTTTAGAACCGTTCTAAAGGACCACCAAAAGTAGAAGCTTTTAAAAGATTACCCACAGAAAACCTATATTAGCCTTAATAAGAATGCATACATACTTGTGTCCCCGATAACAAATATACTGCAAAAGGTGGTAGGAAGAGGACACATGGTGAAAAACCATATATGGAACAGTTCTATAAAACACTATGGTAGATATGTTACATGTATTCCCAACGCTATAGTATCCTGCCATTTAGATCACTACCACCACACCCTTTCCCCTGCCCAAAGAGACAAGAACGTTTTTAAACTTTTGTTTATTCCCCTCAACAGGCCAGTCCCCATCCTGCCACCCCTCCTCTTTAGAGGAGATCAAGACTGATCTAAGCCAAGGATGTCCAAAAGGTAGATCCCCAGATGTTGTAGAACTACAACTCCCATGATGCTTTGAAAGTCTTTGGACTGCCTTTAGAATGGCAAAGCATCATGGAAGCTTTAGTTTTAAAACATCTGAGGGAGGATCTACCTTTTGGGCAACCCTGATCTAAGCCAATCTAAAGCTGTCCCATAGAGATGCACTGGGAGGCTAGTGCGCATGTGTGGCATATCGCAATGCTGCATCAATCAAATGCGCTCTGTAAAAGGAAAGAGTCGCTAGTCACGGCGGATCCAGTCAGTCACTACAGGGGTGTTTAACCCTGCAATAACAATTTCTGTATCAAAAAAAAAAAACAACCACCAATGTTTTAGATTACAGGGTTAAATCTAAAGGGCCACTGCAACCAGATCACTTCACTGACATGCCTTAGTGGTCCTTTAGCAGCAAAGCCATCCATAACAAAAAGCTGGAAAGCTTTAACTTCAGATATTGATCAAGTAATACGAAACATACTGTTCATGTTTGATATCATTCATGACAAGTCAAGGTCACTTACAAACCGCCTCATTTTCATAATGGTGCACAAGGTGAAGAAAGAGATGCAGAATGGACATTACCAGTTACAGTATTGATAAACCAAGCAGTACCACTAACAAACGTTCATTTTGGACAAGTAATATTTCCTAAATTTAAAGGAACAATCTCACATAAGATTTAAAATAAACCACTCAAAGGGACACTAAGTGCCAGGAATACAAAGCTGTATTCCTGGCACTATAGCCCCTCTGCCTCCCCCCATGTAAATAAAGGGTAAAAAATCCTTTTACTTACCTTATGCCAGTGCCAATGTCACTTGGCACTGGGTCACAGCTCCGCCTCAGTCCTGCATCGTCAAGGCGCAAATGCCGCGCTTGCATTATACCTCACAGGAAAGCATTGAATGCAGAGCATGAGGACGTCCATCGTCAGATACCGTACCAAAGGTCAGTTTTGATGCAGGAAATGCCTCCAGTGGCTGTCTAGGAGACAGATGTAGTGCTGCAGTGTAAACATTGCAGTTTCTCTGAAACCGCAATGTTTAACATTGCAGCACTAAATGCAATAGGGACACAGCGCCAAGACCACTTTAAGTGGCCTGGGTACCTATAGTGTCCCTTTAACTCCCCCCCCTCCCCCCCATTAACCACATGTGATATAGAAACTAAACTTTGATGTATCATCAGCAATGTTTGATTTACAACAAAAAAACAAACAAAAAAAAACGTTATAGCACAAAATAAATACAAATTAAGCATTAAAAAAATAAAATCATAGTGGTTTGACTGTGTTCTTAAAAAAAGTCAAACTTAAAGGACCACTATAGTGCCATAAAAACCAAACTTGTTTTCCTGGCTCTATAGTGTTAATAGGTCGTCCCCCCCCCCCCACCGGGCTGACGGGGGAGGAAAAGGTTAAACACTTACCTTTCTCCAGCACCGGGGACTCTCCTCCCTCTTCCGACGTCATCCGCCGCATGCGCAGCAAGAGCCGCGCACGCATTCAATCAGTCCATAGGAATTTCTCAATGCTTTCCTATGGACGTCAGTGTCTTCTCACTGATTTTCACAGTGAGAAGCGCCTGTCAATGAGACAGCCACTAGAGGCTGGATTAACCCTATTGTAAACATAGCAGTTTATCTGAAACTGCTATGTTTACAGCTGCAGGGTTAACCCAAGATGGACCCAGACCACTTAATTGAGCTGAAGTGGTCTGGGTGCCTATAGTGGGCCTTTAATCCCTTAAGGACACATGACATGTGTGACATGTCATGATTCCCTTTTATTCCAGAAGTTTGGTCCTTAAGGGGTTAAACAATTTTAAATATGGGGCTTTCACAAAACTTTAATAGAATGCTTGTAAACAACTATAAGGACAATTTGTGCAATACAATATTGACATATAGGGACTCAAAGGGGTTATGAATTGAATTAAACAAATTAAATCTGGCAATCCTAATCCTGGGGGGCTTTGAAATAATGCAGTAATTACTTTATCTAATTCCTTAGAAGTACATGCCTGAAGGAGAGATGAAATCCACAATGTGCTTTAAATAAAAACCAGATTCAGTCATGACAAATTTAGCAGAGACCTTTGCCATTTTAACAGCTGATTCAGCATACTGAACAGATTTTTATGACGTAAAGGGTTTTCATTGAGCTTGCTAAAAGGTAGAATAAAAGGAGCCCACATCCGTGCAGGCCCCCCTGCTCTTGCAGTTTATGTGATGGATCAAATTGCATGTCTTGTCAATAAAAGTCTTATGCTTTGAAACAGCCCACTTATTTTATGCTTTTATTGCTTCAAGCACACAGAGGAAGAAAAGCACCCAGCGTACAAATTAGCCACACTGCTACTCCATGTTTTTACTTAGCCAGGCTAAGGATCCATCCACACTTCTAGGAGTACTTCTATAGTACCGTGATAAACCTTTATTTATAAAACATCAGCTGATTTAGAAGACAAAGGAATTGGTCATAATTTTTTTGTTCATAACATTATTCTCCTGTTTATAGAAATTTTTTTGTACGTTGAATGTTACTGTGATAAGGGCTAGTCTTACCTATGTGTTTCTCTTTCTTTTGAGAATCATTGGCAATAGCAGAATGCTAATTGCAGGGATGTGAAATATATAAATTGCCAGACGACTGGGACATGTAGTTCCGGGCAGGATAGTTTTTATGCTTTTAAACCGGCCACGGACAAGCGCCTGGGCTGCCTTAAAGAATACTGGTGCGAGGGGCGTGAGGTCTGCACTTCCAGCGTGTGTAATTGCTTCCTCATGGTCCAACGCTCTTTAGGGAGTTAGTGCAGCCATTTGTATTCCCAGCAAGCTACCTGACTCACCAAATGCCAGGGTTGCAGCTGTAATGGAGAAGATGGGTGCTCTCTTACTGAATACAGCAACAGGTATTGCCTCACTGCGCCATGTAAACTGGAAGATTTCTCCCAAATACCATGTACTGAAAACAATTTTCACACCTATCCCAATATTGAAGGAAATGTTTATTTACCTAAATTACATACATCACATACACACACACACACACAAACTTTACATTAATACAGCACACCAGCCTATGGATGCAACTTATCTTCTGTTTCACGTCATGGTGCAGCATTCTTATTATTACCATTTATATAGCGCCAACAGATTCCATAGCGCTTTACAATTTTATGAGACGGGGGGATTTAACTATAAATAATACAAGAAAACCAACAGGAACGATAGGTTGAAGAGGACCCAGCTCAAACGAGCTTACATTCTATAGCATGTTCCCAGCATGGTGGCCATCTTGGATCTTGCAACTAGGAAGATCTTTGCAGGCCATTATGGCGTGTAAAGCTTTGTGGGCTTTACGCTCACTCAATAGCAGTTGTCTTGGCTGGCCCCATTTACAGTTTAAGACAGAGTGGCTGATACAAAATGTATACTCTTGTCTTTTAAAAAACACGTTACTCCTTTCTCTACTGGTTGCAAGCTGTGTTGAATAACGTGAGTGAAAATAGAAAATGAATCCAGGCACTCCAATGAATTCCAAAATGCAGGCAGTTTATTTAGAATCCAGGACCAAAAAGCAATGTTTCAACCCCTTAGGGCCTTTGTCAAAGCCCTAAGGGGTTGAAACATTGCTCTTTGGTCCTGGATTCTAAATAAACTGCCTGCATTTTGGAATTCATTGGAGTGCCTGGATTCATTTTCTATTTTTAACTCAGTGTTTGGTCCTATTTGGTACTGGGACTTGTCCATTGGAGCACCCTGGATTCTGGAATGGAGGGTTGAGTGCACTTCCATCATCTTTGTTTGCGACTAACGTGAGGGAGTCCAAACACAAAATGGAGAAATAAAGTAAACACAGTGCAGGTCAGGAGCCTGGATACAAGTCAGGGGCTTGTGAGCTGTACCACTGTAACCACCTAATAGAGAGCTCCAAAAGTGGGTAACCCTCCAAAACAAGAGTCATACCTGTGTGCCTCAGTATGTGCAAAAGTGCCTTTTGATTGATTTTGCCCCAACTTTATATATTTGACAAATTATGTCCTCTTGGGGTGAGATCCCATTCCTTTGGGTGCTTCTGGGTAAGACCAAGCTTACATTAAGAAGTGCTTTCATTATGTCAACTTTATTTGCGTTTATACCCTATTAGTGATGAGGGATTCTCAAGCTTATATCTTGGATATCCAATTCATGGTTAAAGTGGCAGTGGATGCGATTGTTGAAAAAGCGATGACTTAAAAAATAAAAACGCATTTCCCAAGTTGCCTGCTAAGCCAATTAAATATAACTCTACCAGGTCTCAAACTTAAGTTGCTGCAGACTGTGAGTGGTCCACTAAAGACCAACACCGGTCTTTCAAGACACACAGGATCAGTCGACATTATCAGGTAATGGCTGACCAGCAGGACCAGATTATTTTAAAGAACAATTCATCACTTGATTAGAACTAAGCCACTCTCAGTTTTCTTCTGAATCTTCAGTTACTGTAAGGGGAATTTAACAAACAAAAAGGCATAGTTTGAAATCTGAACACTTTGGAGGAGCATGTGTGCTAGATAGAATGGGTGGCTTGAAAGATTTCTATACTAAATAGAATAAAGGGCTTCCTTATTAGAATCCAAGAACAAAGCCAACCAGTCTTGGCTCTAAAAAGCCAAACTCTTAGAACTGCCTTTTAAAAGTTTCAGAAACCCCCAGCCCTCGAATTCACACAATAAATGCAACCTAAACTGTACCCATCACAGTTGTGGCAAGAAAAAAAAAATCAGAACAAAGCCAAACATAAATTGTGATATAGCTATATTAAAAGTTAAATTATTTATTTATTTATTTTTTAAATACAACATAAATACAGGCAGTGCTTTACAATATTAAAGAGGGGCATGCTACAGTGAGTGTTCCATTTCTTAAAGGGTGTATTGGAGCTGTACCCCTAATTCAATGACAAACCGTTTAGGAATGGTGTAAAATAATCAGACTCCTACTAACCCATGTAAACTGCCCCTTCCTCACCTGTATTGCAGGAATTAACACATTTGCCCATTAGAAGCACAAATGAGGGAAGAACTATAAAGCCAAAACCTTGCTGTGATCTCACATGGGATCAGGAAGTGGTTGAATCCACTGTGGAAAGCCTGGTGGTCCCATATCGGTCTATGGGAAAATCTTGCATCATGTAGAAAGCCCTTAAATGGGAGTTGTATTTCAGCTGCCTGTTTTTTTACTCATGCCTTAATTTACAAAAAAAATTAAAGTTTAACAGAAGTGGCACCACAGATTATTTAGGAACGGAGTCTGGTTTCACTTTTTTATATGAAGTATTATTTGATCCAAAGGGCACCTGTGTGCAGAATATCTTTGAACGATAATGTGTTATAGGTGAAAATACGCCTTTCAACAGTAAACATACTGTAGTTTTTTGGAATACAGGACACAGCCAGAGATTCCATTTCTGCCGCACCTGGCCACTGCAGGCCTCCTTTGCAGGAGGGGGAGCCCATCGGTTCCCTTTTACGCTAGCGCAAGCCTATCAGAGCGTTGCTACGGCACAATGCAGAGGCTTGTGTGAAGAATATACAGAGGTGCAGACGAAAAGAGTCTCTAGATGGGATGATTGTGTTCCTCATTCTAATTTAAGTAGTTGGGAAAGGAAACAAAAACACCAAAACAAAACCAAATCCTCAAACTGGTCCTCTCCACCCACCACAGCCTCTATCCCATCACAGAAACACATACACACTACATACATTTTCCACAAAATGCGTAAGTAAAAATATGGGTGAATCATATTCAGAAAGATACAGTATCTAGATTATTTATTGGAGTGATCATTAGAAATGGTCACCAACTCAGAAGGTAATAGATTGTGCTTTAATATCTAGAGTAGATGTTATTTGCCAATTCATATACTGTCCCTTTAAAATTAAAGCATCACACCCGACCATTTACATCAGGTACAGATCACTTGTAATATTCATGCAGAATAGAAGACACATAAGCTCTGTAAATTACAAGTCACAACCGTTCATCTGAAAATGATTAACTGCAGCACCCCACCTAGTAAAAAGAGTTGCACATAAAACAGCTGTGTAGAATACTCATGTCTTCCTGTGCTAGCCCTGGAGGGATACAAATGCAATTTCTTTTCAATAATGGCAAACTGTGTACGCATTAATCATAGAAATGCTGTTGCAGTTCTATGCTAACCATACTCATGTACAGGCATATACTCTTTAAAACCGGCTAGCGGGCATTTTTCTTTTTGAGGGAACTATTAGGTGGACCCCTACATTTAAAATAAATAAATAAATTTAAAAAAACATTTTTAACCCTGAAGAGTCTACAAGGGACCATCAACCAAAGCAAAAAGGGAAACTATAGTGCCAGGAAAGTGGTTTTCCTGGCACTATAGCTCCCTATAGTGCCCCCCTTGCTGCAGAAGGGGTAAAAACCCCATTCTGTCACTTACCTCATTCCAGCTCCAATGTCCCTCTGTGCTGTTTCAGGCTCCGCCTCTGCTCCTCCCTTGCTGAAATATATTTCACACTATTGGTGTACTTATTGTACTATATATTAAGTAGGACTTTAACGTAATAGTTCTCTATTTAGAACTTTGAACTTGAGGCACAAAAAGGAGGCTTGGAATAGAAAAAACACTAAGTGTTTGAACGGAACTTGCATTATTTTATGCACGTAATTTAATGCTTCTTTTAATACACATGTTGATTTTACAGGAGAGGTGCAGAAGTGCCTCGAGGGACTGCCTAAAGCATTTAAATCCTGCAAGGTAAATGCTTTTACACTGCAGGATGGAAAACTATAGGGATATGGCATCCAGACAACATCAGTTAAATGAAGTGGTCTGGGTGCCTATACTGACCATTTAAGGAGGTAGAAGGAGCACCAAAGCAAAAAACAAAGTTGGAATTGCACTGGAATAAAAACGATCTCTCAAACCCACACAGGAACCTATAAACATTTGCTTGAAATAAACCAACATGGTTTAAAATATGTCAAGCAAGAGTTCAGATTTTTATTTAAAAAAAAAAATAAATAAATAAAAAAAAATCCACAGGTTCTATGAGAATGCACATTTTGATAAAATGCTTTTTATAATAATGTTTTGGCAGGCCAAAACAGACTGTGATGAATGTTTAATTTGTTTATTAATATTTTAGATTTAGTCAATGTGGTGCCGCACATCAATATTTAGCTCTGCCGGAAATACGTGCTGGTGCCAAATAACTCCAGCAAAATAAATGTGCACCAATCCAAAATTATAGTTAGAGGGAGAGAGACACACACACACACCTACCTGTTTTATTCTACAAATTATTCATACAAATGTATGCTATATGTTAGAAGCTACTTTCTATAGGCTATCTTTAGGTACTCACCTTTCACAGAAAACCAGTGTTAAACCACCCAGAGAAGTTTACCACTAAATGGAATTATACTGTCACAGACAAATTTAGGCATACTGCTAAAAGGTAAAATGGTGTTCCCCAAGGGCACTCTTGTTTTCTCTAAAGCACACCATCATAAATAATGTTTGAAGAACCTTTTAATCTGGCTCTGTGTGAATTAATCCGATGTACAGATGATGCGCTCCTAAGCACATGGCTCTGAAGAGCATTAGCAGAAAACACGTTCCCATTTAAGCTTTCAACTGTAGCAGCTGTATACTTAGCACCCATAGGCGAGCTCTTAATGGGAAATCAAAGCTTGAATTCACACATTATGTGTCTTGCGTGCAAACAAAATCACACATCACCTGCTTGAGGCTGTGCTCCAAGACCAGTTTACAGAAGTAGAAAAGTGGATCGCAAAAAACAAAACTTCATAAACACTGACAAAACGGTCACAATGATCTTTGTAACGTACCCAAGTTACACAATTCCCACCTATCCATCAAAAACAAATTCAAATAGCACACTGACCGCAGTCCACTCTTTCAAATACTTGGTATGTTAGACCCCAATCTATCTTTTGGCCTCCACATAGAAAAACTTGCATCTAAAAAACTAGGTGCCCTGTACAGAAACAAATCCTGCCTAAGCCCTACAGTAAAGGAAAAGATCGTACAGCAAATGCTGATGCCAATCGTCGATTACGGGAATGTAGTACATGCACCTGCACCGCAATCCCACCTTAAACTCAATACATTGTATAACTCATTCTGCCAATTTACGCTACAATGCAATTACAGGACCCACCATTGTGACATGCTAAAAGAACTAAACTGGCTGTCGTTGGAATCCAGACACACCCTTCATCTTTCCAGCCTTGTGTTTAAGAGCTTTTCTGGGAAGCTCCCTCCCTACCTGAGCAGAATGCTCTCCCCTGCTTTCCCCCATCTCCTATAACCTCTGATCCAGTACCAGCACTTCATTTAGTCTACCTCAATACATAAAGAAAGCAACCCGATCCTACAGAGCGCTGCAATTATGGAATGACCTCGCGCACACTTTCAAATCTTCCACAAGCCTAAAGTCCTTTAAGAAAAAAAAAAAACCACCATACATACACACACACACACACACACACACACACACACACTATGGTTGATTATATATTTCCTACCTGTTCTATGTTACATTTTGTATATATATTGTGTAAAAAAAAGGATGACTATAGTGTCAGGAAAACAAACTCTTTTTCCTGACACTATAGTCATCCTTAGGACCCCCTGACCCTCAGAGCCCCCCTCCCTTGGCACTGAAGGGGTTAAAACCCCTTAAGCCACTTAACTGTATCCAGCGCCGGGCTCCCTCAGCGCTGGAGACCTCTCCTCCCCCGCTGACGTCAGATCCCGAGTGGAGCGGAATGCGCGGCAAAAGCCGCACGCATTCAAACAGTCCAGTAATGCTTTCCCATGAACGTTCTGCACGCTGGATGTCAGGAAGACAGCCACTAGAGGTTGGATTAACCCTGCAATGTAAACATAGCAGTTTCTCTGAAACTGCTATGTTTACATCTGAAGGGTTAAAACCTGGGGGGGACCTGGCATCCAGGCCACTTCATTGAGCTGAAGTGGGCTGTGTCTGACTATTTTGTCCCTTTAATATTGTTTTTTTTAATTTTATTGTAACCTAATGTATCAATGCAATGTTTTGTGGACCCAGGACATACTTTAAAACAAGCAAAATCTCAATGTATCTTTCCTGGTAAAATATTTTATAAATAAAGTCTTATGAAGAAAAAATAAAATAAAAAAAATAATAAGTTAAAAAAAATTGGCAAGTGTTACTATAAAAACAATGGAACGTTAAATCAGAACCAAAATCTGTAACACAGGGTGTAACAATATAAATTAGGAACAACTGTACAAAAATAAATAAAATTTAAAAAAAGTTGGCACAGAGTCGATTTTTACTTTAGCTAAACACTAAACTCTAGGACTGTATCAACCTTCATGTTCATGTTGAACCTATAACTCACAAGTTGCATGTCGGAAAGCAATAACTGAACAAACTAGTGCATTGCCTGTTGTAGTGGTTATGATATCTAAAGTACCCTTGCCCAGTTCCCTAGTAATGGAGCAAACTGGGTCTCTGCTGGGGTATGATGCTCCCTGTTGGTCCAGTGAAGTGCTTCGAGCTTCTGTAGAGACACAGAAACCGAGGCCATTCATCGGCTGAGAACATCAGCTGACCTGCAATGATTGACATTCTGTGCAATGAAAGTTGCACAGAATTGACATTACCAGTCTTGAAACTCTAGCTCTGGGCTAGCTGATGACCCCCATACCCACACCTAATAATGCTACTGGAGGTGTATATACAGCCGTTCTTACAGACTCCAAGCAATAGGACCACTTCAAATCACTAAAGTGGTCATGTTGCTTGACGTAACGAATGAATATGCAGTCTGATTTTCATCCAGCAGGCTTCCTCTATACAGGGAGTGTATGCATTAGAGAGAGCACAAAGCACAGATAACTTGTAGATATCTATATGCTTTGCAAAAAATCTCAGATGTGGCTTACACATTAAAGCACAATTCAGTGTGACTTGATAGTTTTGGGAATCTGTACAACAGAAGTTAAAATAGAATTTGCAAATGTCATTAAATTAATAACAGACTGTAATTATACTGCCACAAAACACTTGCAAAAATCACATGCACCTGCTGGGTAGGAGGAAAACCAGCAGGAAATCCCTTCCAACACAGAGCAACCACACAGAAATTCTTTAAAGGGGTCACCTCTAGGCATAATCACAATTCTGCACAAATTGCAAAATTGATGCAGCATATAGCACCCCACTCAAATTTAAAAGGGCTGTCAGACTGTTGCAGATATAAATCTTTCCACAAATTGTGCATGCAACTTGGGATGAAGTACACTCGCGTTCTTTACAATTTGTTAAAGCTAGTCAAATTTAAAATTTGTTAAAGCACAGGAAGATTCATAGCAGATATGACAACATCTAGCTTGACGTGTAGGCCTTCCTAGTTGGTAGGCATGTTCTCCTTGCAGTGCAGCAGGCAGAAAACTGCAGTGTACACTGGTCCTGACCAATGGCTCCCTTTGTTCTCCTTTGGGGCTTTTGGAGGACCTTAGTATTTGGTAGGATTATAACCTGCTGGTTGACTACATGTACAACAATGAAAATAAGAATGCACCAGTAGTAGAGCAAACAGTTATAGAATGTTTTGAATTTCAATCAATTTGATATATAGTTTTATTTAAAGGTTTACATCTACATATTCTGTACCTAAAGCAGCTGTGTATATGCAGTCTTACATGATGGTCCTTTATCCTACTGTACAAACAGAAGTACATGGATAATTATTTTGTAACCGGATGTAAGCCAAGTGTGTATGTGTGCGTCCATGTACGGAGCTTGATCTATTTTGTGGTCATATCCTGCAGTTAAATTAGATTTGGTCTTTTGACAGACCCATCAGTGTTTAAATACATATGGATGTGTCCACACAGGACCACAGGTTAGGACAATCTCTGAATGGGTTTAAGATTTGTTTGAGTGCTTCTCTGGGATTATGACTTAAAACACTGCCTGGTATGTAAATACAGTAAATGAACTGCAACAAAACTGCTAGATATTTAGTGATGACGTACATGCCAAATAAATTAATTAATTTTTTTTTTTTTTTTTTTTAAAGTCAAGTAAGTAATTCAGCAATTTTATTAGCTATGCTAATCATTTCAAAAAAGGTAACCTGTCCGTTTTAAATGGTGCTGGGTGAAAAGCAGTTTTATGCTTATACAGGTTTTAAAGGATACAAATGCAAATTGTGCAATAAATCAGGATTTGCAATGTCAACAGTTTATGGGCTCAGCTCTATGCAGCGAAGCTCAGTTTACACTTTTAATGTAGCAGTGATTGGTGGGCAGTACTGCACCAGTGTGTGATGAAAATATAGTAATGTAGCACTTTTCATAATGGGATACAAAGCATGTTACAAAACAATGTCCACATGGATTAACAATTAAACCATATAAACCTGTTGTGTGTGACCTGGACCGTTTCAAATCTTGAAACAGAATAATCAAAAATCACAACTGCTTGCCAAAAAGGCCCTGATTCACTGAAGATATGAAGATTCCTTCACTGTGGTATGTTTGTCTGCATTAAACGAACACAAACGTAATCCTGACCCTATAGTGGCGCCATGCCGCCCTTCCCCCTAGAATGGGTTAAAACACCCCTCATTTCCAGTTGCATCCAAGTAACCTGTTTGGCCCCTTGTTTTAAGAAAGCATGTACACAACCACACACTCATGCTGCAGCAATTAGATTAAAGGGACACTATATAGTCACCAAAACAACTACATTTTATTGTAGTAGTTCTGGTGACTATGGCATGCCCCTGTAGGCTTTTAAAATGTCAACACCGCCTTTGCAGAAAAAAGGCAGTATTTACATTACTGTATAGGAACACCTCCAGTGGCCACTCATCAGATGGCTACTATAGGTGCTTCCTGGGTCAATTCTGCACTGACATTTAACGTCTTCACGCTCTACATGGAGACACTGAACACTTCCCATAGAGATTTATTTATTCAATGCATTTCTATGAGGAGATTCTGATTAGCTATGGGAAAGAATTGTGATTGGCAAGGATCACCACTTCTGATGACGTCAGCCAAGGAGGCAGAACAGGGGCAGGACCATCGCAGCGCTGGAAATAAGGCAAGTTTTCTTAATACTTAAGGGGGGGCAGTGACCCTACATGTGTTTAACAAGATTAATAAGCAAACTACTATCAGAGTCATGTAATAGCTACTATTAGAATGCTGAGAAGTTAATGACAGTTGAAAGAAAAAAAATAAAAAAAAATAAAGTTTAGATAAACTTTGTAGCATAACTATTTTAAGAACTCCTTAAATCTAGTTATACAAACTTACATGCAACTATAGGTTATGTAACTTGAGTTTGAAAACGCACAATTGTCTACCCCTTAACCATCGCATTTACAGACAGTAAAATCTAGTATGTACCCAACCCCCCTTACCCTACAAAGTTAGTCACTAAAGTGAATTTCATATTCAAGGTATAAAAAACATAAATAAATAAAATAGCCAAACTGAAAACATTCTCTAAGTTAGTTGTTCAAACTTTAGATTCAAGGTGCCCTTAATATTTGAATATTTTTTCCAAGGCGCCCCAAGTCAAATCTTCTAGGTTGTATATCTGTTCAGAGCTGCGGCATATACAGGCACTATAGTGTAATATATATTGTTGATGTTTGAAGTGCTTCTATATATAGTTTTAGTGTTTTAATACAGTGGTGTTTGCGCATGTAATGTTTACGTTTGATTGCAGGGGTATTTTTGAATGTAATGTTCACTTTTAAATGCGAATGTACTTTTGTGTTTGAGTGAAGGGGTGTGTTTGTATGTTGTGCTGGTGTTTGACTGCTTAGATGTATGCACACACACACAGATATAAATGCATATTAACACACACATACAAACGCACCCTGACAGATACAAACTGACATAACCACACACATAATCTGACAAACATTCAAGTGATATTGTTTTATATTTGCAGCCATCCTCCTGTTAGCTTACCTTGTGTATCCAGGAGGGTTGCTTGGAGTCCTGGTCCTGCTGCTGGTGTAAGTGAGGGGTCTGGAGAAGCTACTCTCCTTAGGCTGCGACTGCCTCCTCACCATCCTGCACTGAACTCTGCATAAACTTGAAAGGAAGTAATAGACTGTCACTTCCTCCCAGCCTGACACAACAGAGGCTGAGTCGCAGTCTTAAAGGGCCGCGTTGCCTGACCGGGCCCCTGTTCAGCAGAAAAGTTTCCTGGTGCTATAATGATTGCACCAGGGAATCATTTTGCGGCGCCGCTGTGCCCACTTTGGGAACTGCTGCTCCAAGTCATATGGTTCCAGTCTTAAATTTTAGGTTCACTTTAATTTCTCCCATTAGTGAATAACCCTGACTATTTAAAAAGCGGCTTATGTTTATTCATGGCACACATCTAGTCAATATCAGATGCAAAAAAAAAAAAAGGTATTTGACAGGCTTTAATATTAATCAAACCATCACCTAGGGATCATAATTGCAGGCAGCACCATCTCTAGTTCAATTTAAACATGCCACTCATCAGAAATGCTCCTGACTCCAATTTATAGTTGTCTTACATATATACTGTGCCTTGGCCAAGTTTCACAAACCGCTTATATATCTCTGGGGTACCCTTCAGAAATCCCTACAATGCTAAACAGTTATTTAGAAAACAGCAATCTTTTACATTACAGGGATCTACATGCTCCTTAAACTGTTTGAAGACAGACCCTCCTTGCATGTCACAAGTTATTTCTAGGACATGATGAATGCTGAAGATGATGGTCTTAAATATTTAGGATAAGTGCAAAAACTAAAGAACTACATTTTAAGGGAACACTAGGAGTCAAAACCACTACATCTTCATTTAGGGCAGGGGTGCCCAAAAAGGTAGATCTCCAGATGTTGTAGAACTTCAACTCCCATGATGCTTTGCATGCCTTTAGAATGCTTAGAATGACAAAGCTTAAGCCCTTAAGGACTGAACCAAATGTACACGTTGTGAACAAAACAAAACCTGGCATTTGCGCTATATGTCTGTACAACCGTAATTCACCTCTTTCATATTAAATGCACCCACCCTTATATTATTTATATATATATATATATATATATATATATATATATATATATATATATATATATATATATATATATATATATATATATATATATATATATATATCATTTTATTCAGGAGAAACTGGGCTTTCATTTAATATCAAATATCTAGCTATGAAACAAATTATGAAAAAAAAAAATGAGAGAAAATAAGATTGTTATTTTTTAGTTCTGCACGACATTTTAACTGTCAATGTCATAATACTGTTTGCTTTTACTGCAATAAAATACACATTTGTATTCAGCAAAATCTCACGTGTAAAACAGTACCATCTATGTACAGGTTTTATGGTGTTTTGGGAAGTTACTGGGTCAAATATAGCATGTTACATTTGAAATTTGCCAGATTGGTTACGTTGCCTTTGAGACTGTATAGTAGCCCAGGAACTAAATTTACACCCATAATGGCATACCATTTGCAATAGAAGACAGCCCAAGGTATTGCAAATGGTGTATATGTCCAGTCTTTCTTAGTAGCCATTTGGTCACAAACACTGGCCGAAGTTAGCGTTCGTATTTGTTTGTTTGTGAAAAATGCAAAAAAAAAAAAAAAAGCCCTCCAATTTTGGCCAGTGTTTGTCCAGGAGGAAGGATCTGCCGCGGGGGACTCCCTGGGATCCCAGGTGAGTCACCCGACCGCGATTGCCGGCGTGGGATCGCCAGCGACCGGGTAAGTAAAAAAACAACTACTACTACTACTCCGCCCTACAGCGTTTAGAGCCGCTTAGAATAGGGCGTAATAGTACGCCCTCCGGTTGTAAGGGATTAATGGAAGCTGTAGTTTTAAAAAGATCTGGAGATGTACCTTCTGGGCACCTCTGCCTTAAATGAAGATGTAGTGGCTTTAACTTTTGGGCACCCCTGACGTAGGGATTTTAGTGCAGAGATTTTCTCTAGCAATGTAAAACATAGTAATTTGAGAGACCGTGTGTTTACATTTGGCCAAACACATGCCTCTAATATCACGGATAGGCAACCTTTGGCTCTCCAGATGTTTTGGACTACATCCCCCATAATACTCTTACATCCGTAATGCTGGCAAAGCATCATGGGAGGTGTAGTCCAAAACATCTGGAGTGCCGAAGGTTGCCTATGCCTGCATGTAGTTGCGGACAGACAGCCACTAGAGCCACTTCCTTCTCAGAGAACAGCAAAGAAGAACTGGAGTCACAAAGAAGAGCAGAATCACTTCTCGATAAGCAACACTTTAGTGGTGGTTCATTGTTACTACCGTGTGTATGCTGTAAGTCAGCAATACTTCTCTAAAAGAGATAATCATGATTAATGACCTAGCTGCAAGAGGATCAGGCTGCATTGAGCAGACTGTCCTGGCACTGGATTACAGGTAGGTTTTATGATAATCATTTATATAGCGGCAAGATATTCTGCTGGTCTTTACATTTATATCGTGTGGATATTTGAAATCAAGTAATTATTTTACAGAATATAAGACAATACGTGAAGAAAGCCCTACTCAAAACAAGTTTACAATCTTTGAGTAAGGGGTAAAGAAACAAGAGGAAGAAATGTACATCAGCGGGAAGGATGAATAAAACGTCAGTGTCAAAATAAAAGTGGATCGTGAAGAACCAAACAGTGAAAGGAAGGAATAAACGAGCCTTTGAATGCAAAGGAACTGAGGATAGCAATTCTGAATTTAGGTGCTGTACACAATGCAGCACTAAAAAAAAGAAGCACCTCTAGTGGCTGAGTGACTGCACCTTGATGTGTTTTTAGACTAAATGTAAACACTGCCTTTTCTCAAAAAAAAAAAAAAAAAAAAAGCAATGTTTACATTGCAGATCCTGCAGGAACAGCCTATAGACACCAGAAACACTACATTAAGCTGTAGTGGTTCTGGTGACTATTGTGTCTCTTTAATCTCAGATTCTTGCTGTGAACTTCCAAGTACATGTTCTTCTAAGTACAATAAGAAGAGAGACTCTAGGATTGTATTGCACTTTGAACATGTAATTCTAAATCAGAGATGTCATGCAAAAATGTTTAAAAACACAAACAGTGAAAACGCATACAAAAACAGATTCACATAATTCTAAGTCAACATGAATAGATAAGTCTGCAAGGTCTCTAGGACAAGGATGGTAGACAGGCATGTCCTTAAAGGGACACTATAGTGTAGTGTAAGGCAGGCATAGGCAACATTCGGCACGCCAGATGTTTTGGAATATACCTCCCATGATGCTTTTCCAGCATTATGGGGTATGTAGTCCACAACATCTGGAGTGCCAAAGGTTGCTTCTCCCTTGTGTAAGAAAAAACAAAAACAAAACCTTTCTGCATTCACCCAATTTTAGCGCTGGTCTACCGCGGCACTCTGCCTTCTCCGACAGGGGAAGGGGAGCTAATGAACCAAAAGTAGCCTGGCAAACAGTTAGTGCCACTAGAGGCAGGCCTAGTCCTGTGATGTAAACATTGCAGTTTCACTAAAACTAATGATTTACATTGCAGGACTAAGCAAGACTGACACTGCACCCAAACCACTTCAATGAGTGGAAGTGGCCTAGGTGCCTATAGGGTCCCTTTCGCTATAGGAGTCCAAACCTTTTGCTGAATTCTAGAGTTCTTCACATCTAGAAATCGTTTTGCATTCATACAAATATATTAAATCCAATGAGCTGTGAATTCTCTCTTGCATGCATTTGTATTGTACAGATCCCTGGTATTGCTGAGAAATTTGTTTTACATCCTAAACCTCAGCTTTGCATCACCAGTGTTACAGAAGACAACACAAATTACATCCTAGAAAGCACAAAATATAAAATTGATACTTGAGCTACTCCACATGATGACTAAAATAATTAAAACGTTTCACATAAATGCTAGAAGTGCTTGAATGCAAAGAGCTGCAGAAACTCTCAAGAGAGAAACCAAAATTGGAGGAAGTCCAAAACACAAACTGGAGACTTTGAAAGGTAATTCAATAAAGAATTCTTAACATTATTTTGTGAACCACACTTGCTTAAAATTAGCATCTCAATATCTCAGACCTTGTTTCTGCTTCTCTTTCTCGGTCTCTACCCGGCCCATCTAACCACATAGTAGATCACTAAAGGGTGATTTCTCATAAATCCAAAGCGAATGTTAAATAAATGCAACAATACTGGAAGATCAGAAGAATGTTACCATTTTCAGCCTGGCAATTAAAATTCACATTGTATGCCTTTTATCAACATTGTAATACACAACATAGCACAGGGGTAGGCAATGTTTGACACTCCAGGTGATGTAGACTGCATGTCCCCTGATGCTTTGCCTGCAATATGACTGTTAGAGCATTAATGGAGATGTAGTCCACAACATTTGGAGTGTCTAAGGTTGCCTAGCCCTGACCAGAGGTATTTTCAGTCTAAACACGCCAGCAACCTCTGGATTGCAACTCATCAGTGGCAGCATGATTGGGGTTGCAGCTCAGCAGAGATGGGCTGCCAAGGATTGCTGCTCCCTGTGCCAATGGTAAACAGAGCAATACAGATGTTGGGGCCAGCAGCCCTGGGCTAGCCACCCCTGCCCTCCCCCATGGGGGGGGGGCTGCTCTGCCCTCCACCATGGGGGGGGGACGACTGCTCTTCCTTTCACCATGCTCTCCACCATGGGGGGGACACTGCTCTGCCTTTCACCCATGCTTCTCCCCATGGGGGGGCCTAACACCTTTCACCATGCTCTCCCATGGGGGAGCTGCTCTGCCTTTCACCATGCTCTCCCCATGGGAGGGGCTTTCTCTGCGCTGCCATGCTCTCCACCATGGGTGGGGGGCAGCTCTGCCTTTCACCATGCTCTCCACCATGGGGGAGGGGGGGCTGCTCTGCCTTTCACCATGCTCTCCCCAATGGGGGGGGCTGTTCTGCCTTTCACCATGCTCGCCCCCATGGGGAGCTGCTCTGCCTTTCACCATGCTCGCCCCCGCCCAGGGAGGCTGCTCTGCCTTTCACCATGCTCCGCCCCCACCATGGGGAGCTGCTCTGCCTTTCACCATGCTCGCCCCATGGAGAGGGGCTAACTCTGCCTTTCACCGTATTGCTCGCCCCCATGGGGCTCTGCCTTTCACTATGCTCTCCCCCATGGGGCGGGGGGCTGCTCTGCCTTTCACCATGCTCTCCCCCACGGTCCCTCCTCGCTGCCCCTCTCACCCGCAGACTCCCCGGTGTTGATCCAGTCCGGGTTAGCGATGCTGGCGATGGCAAAGATATCGGCGGCCAGAAACAGACAGCCTGAAATGATGGTCAGTTTATCCATATCTCCGTCACCTCCTCCCCCCCGCCACCGCTGCTGCAGGGGCCCCGGGTTCCAGCTCCCCTCTCAGACGGAGAGGGGGGAGATCCCTCGGTGAATAATAACAACACGAACCCAGCGCTGAGACCGGGCCGGACACTGACCCGGAACTGAAAGCGCTGCTAACCCAACAGCTCGCCGGAAGTGAACGACCCCTCTATAGCCCTCCTCTAGGAGAACGCGATCAGCCGAGGCCCCGCCCACTTGCTTGTTGCTACGGAAGCTGTCACGCGCCAAATCTTCCCTAGCAACTGGCTACTACCAGCCTGTGATGGACATTTAAATACTGCGGGGGGGCGGGGCTTATCCACTAAACTGAAATGAGAATGGAGAAACTGCGGATAAAATAAAAAGGGCTGATTTGGGCAGGAATAAATAAAATCTTCCAATTCATCTATAGAAACATATTGAAAATTGTAGCCTAAATTGTGACATTTTGATTACATGAGAATTGAATGTTTTATAGTAAAGGCCCACTATAGGCACCCAGCTCAATGAAGTGGTCTGGTTGCCAGGTCCCCCAGGTTTTAACCCTTCACATGTAAACATAGCCGTTTCAGAAGGCGTATTTTCTTCTGTTTAAGCCATTCTGTTGTTGATTTACTTCTATGCGTTGGGTTATTGTCCTGTTGCAACACCCATCGTCTGTTGGTAGACAGATGGCCTTATGCTCTCCTGCAAAATGTCTTGATAAACTTGGGAATTAATTTTTCCTTCGATGATAGCAATCCGTCCAGGCCGTGACGCAGCAAAGCAGCACCAAACCATGATGCCCCCACCACCATACTTCACAGTTGGGATGAGGTTTTGATGTTGGTGTGCTGTGCCTTTTTTCCCCCACATATAGTGTTGTGTGTTTCTTCCAAACAACTCAACCATGGCAATAGATGTGCAAATGATTGCTACTAAAAACTTGCAGAATAATTGTAATTGGTTAACTCAAGACAAGGTGCTGCAGCAACTAAAGGAAGTTAATATAAACAAAGCTCCAGGGCCTGACGGTATCCATCCACGTGTACTTAAGGAACTAAGTGCAGAAATAAGTGAACCTCTGTTTTTAATCTTTCAAGATTCTTTTCTTTCAGGAAGTGTTCCGGAGGATTGGAGGAAGGCAGATGTGGTTCCTATATTCAAAAAGGGTTCAAAATCCTTGCCTGGAAATTATAGACCTGTGAGCTTAACTTCTGTGGCTGGTAAAATATTTGAAAGGTTATTAAGGGATAATATTCAAGAATTCCTTGAGAAGAACATGGTTATCAGCAAAAATCAGCATGGTTTTATGAAGCACAGGTCATGTAAAACTAACTTGATTGCGTTCTACGAAGAAGTAAGTAGAAGTATAGATCAGGGTGTTGCCGTGGATGTGATCTATTTGGATTTTGCCTAGGCATTTGATACAGTTCCACACAATAGATTAGTGTTCAAACTCAAGAAAAATCAGTCTAGATGAAAATGCTTGTTCTTGGGTAGAACATTGGCTTAAAAACAGAGTACAAAGAGTTGTCATTAATGGTAAATTTTCAAGCTGGACAGAGGTGGCAAGTGGTGTCCCTCAGGGGTCTGTTCTGGGACCCCTTCTATTTAACATGTTTATAAATGATCTTGAAGACCGCATTGAAAGTCATGTTTCAGTGTTTGCAGATGACACCAAACTTTGTAAAACAATACAATGTGAGCAAGATATTACTTTGCTGCAGAGGGATTTAGATAGACTGGGGGACTGGGCACTCAAATGGCAGATGAAATTTAATGTTGAAAAATGCAAAGTTATGCACTTCGGCGTAAAGAATACACAAGCAACGTATACCCTTAATGGAAGCGAATTAGGGATAACAACACATGAAAAGGACTTGGGAATTGTTATAGACAACAAACTATGCAACAATGTGCAATGTCAATCAGCAGTGGCCAAGGCCAGTAAGGTATTGTCATGCATGAAAAAGGGCATTCATTCTCGGGACAAGAATATAATTTTGCCTCTTTATAAATCACTGGTAAGACCCCATATTGAATATGCTGTGCAATTTTGGGCACCTGTTCTAAAGAAGGATATTATGGCACTAGAAAAAGTGCAGAGGCGGGCTACAAAATTAATAAAAGGAATGGAACATATGAGCTATGAAGAAAGGTTAACAAATTTAAACCTATTTAGTTTAGAAAAATGTCGCCTGAGAGGGGATATGATAACATTATACAAATATATTCGGGGCCAATACAAACCATTGTGTGGAAATCTATTCACAAACCGGACTTTACATAGGACACGAGGTCATGAGTTTAGACTGGAAGAAAGAAGATTTTGTCTAAGGCAAAGGAAAGGTTTTTTTACTGTAAGAACAATCAGGATGTGGAATTCTCTGCCTGAGGAAGTGGTTTTATCAGAGTCCATACAGATGTTCAAACGGCTACTAGATGCATACTTGCAAGAACAGAATATTCAAGGATATAATCTTTCAATGTAGGGTAATAACTGCTTGATCCAAGGATAAATCTGACTGCCATTCTGGGGTCAAGAAGGAATTTTTTTCCTAGCTTGTGGCAAAATTGTGCTTCAAACTGGTTTTTTTTGCCTTCTTTTGGATCAACAGCAAATAACAAACGTGAGGTAGGCTGAACTTGATGGACGCAAGTCTCTTTTCAGCTATGTAACTCTGTAACTATGTAACTATGTAACTTTGGTTTCATCTGTCCACAGAATATTTTGCCAGTACTGCTGTGGAACATCCAGGTGCTCTTGTGCAAACTGTAAATGTGCAGCAATGTTTTGTTTGGACAGCAGTGGCTTCCTCTGTGGTATGTTCGTGCATTATCAATACAAGGCAGTGATTCTGGATACCAAAATACAAAAACGTACCAGTTCAATTAACACTGCAGGAGATTAAATTACATCTCAATCATTTTCCCTTTCAGGACATAATTGCTTCTTTTTCTTCCTTATTTTATTTTACAAGTCAAGTGGATTAACCCATTCAAAACTACAGCAATGAAAAACCACGAGATTCACTTTGGTATAGAATTAATAGAGCTTAGGTTATACTATTTGTTTCTCTTTTATGAAGGGTAATATAAATATATATTTGTTCTATTATATCTTTATATATAGGAATATATAAAGGGCAGAGTACAGAATATTTGATAGAGTCCTAACCTCAACATCTGAGGAAAGGGATTTAGGGGTGATTATTTCTGATGACTTAAAGGTAGGCAGACAATGTAATAGAGCAGCAGGAAATGCTAGCAGAATGCTTGGTTGTTTAGGGAGAGGTATTAGCAGTAGAAAGAGGGAAGTGCTCATGCCATTGTACAGAACACTGGTGAGACCTCACTTGGAGTATTGTACACAGTACTGGAGACCGTATCTTCAGAAGGATATTGATACTTAGAGAGGGTTCAGAGAAGGGCTACTAAACTGGTTCATGGATTGCGGGATAAAACTTACCAGGAAAGGTTAAAGGATCTTAACATGTATAGCTTGGAGGAAAGACGAGACAGGGGGGATATGATAGAAACATTTAAATATATAAAGGGAATCAACACAGTAAAGGAGGAGACTATATTTAAAAGAAGAAAAACTACCACAACAAGAGGACATAGTCTTAAATTAGAGGGACAAAGGTTTAAAAATAATATCAGGAAGTATTACTTTACTGAGAGGGTAGTGGATGCATGGAATAGCCTTCCAGCTGAAGTGGTAGAGGTTAACACAGTAAAGGAGTTTAAGCATGCGTGGGATAGGCATAAGGCTATCCTAACTATAAGATAAGACTAGGGACTAATGAAAGTATTTAGAAAATTGGGCAGACTAGATGGGCGATTGGTTCTTATCTGCCGTCACATTCTATGTTTCTATGTTTCTATGTTTCTATCCTCCCATGAAATCCATTCTTGTTTAGTGTTTTACGTATTGTAGATTCGCTAACAGGGATGTTAGCATTTGCCAGTGACTTTTGTAAGTCTTTAGCTGACACTCTAGGATTCTTCTTCACCTCATTGAGCAGTCTGCGCTGTGCTCTTGCAGTCATCTTTACAGGACGGCCACTCCTAGGGAGAGTAGCAGCAGTGCTGAACTTTCTCCATTTATAGACAATTTGTCTTACCGTGGACTGATGAACAGCAAGGCTTTTGGAGATACTTTTATAACCCTTTCCAGCTTTATGCAAGTCAACAATTCTTAATAGTAGGTCTTCTGAGAGCTCTTTTGTGCGAGGCATCATTCACATCAGGCAATGCTTCTTGTGAAAAGCAAACCCAGAACTGGTGTGTGTTTTTTTATAGGGCAGGGCAGCTGTAACCAACACCTCCAATCTCATCTCATTCATTGGACTCCAGTTGGCTGACATCTCACTCCAATTAGCTCTTGGAGATGTCATTAGTCTAGGGGTTCACATACTTTTTCCACCTGCACTGTGAATGTTTACATGGTGTGTTCAATAAAAACATGGCAACATTTCATTCTTTGTGTGTTATTAGTTTAAGCAGACTGTGATTGTCTATTGTTGTGACTTAGATGATGATCAGATCACATTTTATGACCAGTTTGTGCATAAATCCATATTATTCCAAGGGTTCACATACTTTTTCTTGCAACTGTATACTAACCAATATATAAATATTATCAAAAATAAACATGGATGCGAACGAGACGCCAAACTTACTGATGACATTGAAATAAAAGCGTTCATAGGTATATATATATTATAGAGCCCTGGATTTAGTGGAAGAACTGAAAGAGATGAAACTTTCCTACGTTGGCACAGTAAAGAAAAACAAAAGAGAGCTGCCACCTGAATTTGTCACAACGAAATCTAGGGAAGTGTATTCAAGTAGCATTGGATTCTATCGCGGTACTACATTAGTATCTACCGAAGAAGAACAAAACTGTTATCCTTGTGTCTAGCTTTCATCACAATAAATCTCTTGATTCAGAAACAGGCGAGAAAAAGAAACCGTCGATAATTACATTTTACAATTCCACAAAAGGAGGAGTAGACAATGTTGACAAAATGTGTGCTACATTCAGCGTTGCAAGGAATATAAAACGTTGGCCTATGAATATATTCTTCACCATGTTGAATGTTGCTGTCATAAATTCGCAGATAATTTATCTGGGAAATGATTTGAAACCAATAAAGAGGCGTCTAT